TTATGGCAGAGATAAATGGGCGTAAAAACAAATGTACCGTCTTTGAATAATATTAATAATAATAATTAATAACAAACGCGCATTACAAAAGAAAAATAATATCATTGATTACTAAACACGAGAATTTATAATCAACGATAATACGAAAATGAAATAATATTATAAAATATAATGGATGTCGCCGAGTTTTTATCGGCGTCGTAGGTAATATATAATATTATTATAGGAAGTGTGGCTAAAGTTCTATAATATAACATATAGGTATGTATAAAATATACACACACATATATATATATATATATAATATATAGTAACATAACAATGTAAGATAATTTATACATAAATATATTTTTTATATATTATTAAAAAAAAAAAAACAAAAAAATTTATAGATAAATAAAAAATCTACCATTTTACACAATAATAATATAACCTCTAAAACTTCTCCCAAGACTTAAAAAAAATAATCTAAAGTTGGATGTTTGATCTCGTTTATCATTTTTGTTTTACATTACATCGTAATAATATCATACATACATACATTTATAATATTATATAAATTGAACAACATAATGTTTAAATAACGAGTCGTATGAGAATATTATTAGTAAATAGTAAATACACAATAATAATAATAATAATAATAACGTAATGTGATTATTAAAAAATCGCGCTAGGCGATCGCTTGAAAAACAAAGTATGAAAGAAAGAAACGAACAAACAAACGCATTATATAATATTCATACAAACATATTATACGTAAACGTGATATTTTATGTTCTATCGTATAATCGTACAATCGTATCAGCGGTGAGGGACGCGTGTTCGAAATCATCGTCCYGGTATGTCATCTTATCCGCTCAGGTTACCATAATATTACAATTATTTTCTTACAAGCCATAGCATATGCGTATGCGTATATCACATTATATTATTATTATGACTAAAAATCGTTTAAAGCGTTTGTTTTCACGAGTATAATAATAATAATAATAATAATAATAATTCATTCAATTATTAAAAACAAAAAAACAATATAACATACTATGTATAATAATAATATATCATCAACGGTCGGATCGTCGCAGACGGAAATCGTGCGCAATATCAATCTTGTTTTWATTAATTTTTCTCGTATATGTGTACGTATAGAGTCGACTCCTATATGTGGATAGAGTGACTTTTATGGACATGTTAAAATCGATGCAAAAAGCGAAACCGATTTCAGATTATTTTAGTGGCGCATAATATTATTTTGTTTTTGTGTGACGGTTGGGGTGTCTAATCAAGAAAATATGCGGACAYGACGAGAATAATATCGATGGATAAATATTGAGGAAGTCGTAACATATTAAGGTGGGTRAAATAAAAATAAAAATTTAATTCAGTGCCATGAGGTGGGAGAGGTTCTGGAGTGTGGACCACGAGTGTAACCCCCTGATCCGGCTCACCACTCTGGATCACTGCAGCGTTGTATTACGTTATCAGTTTTATTCTTCTATTGCTACTACTATATTATTATTATCATTATTATTATTATTATTATTATTATTACATTTAAAAAGATGTCTCGAGTATTTTTTTTCCCGTTTTCCCGTCGCAGTTGAAACACCGCGGAGTATAGGAACACTACCTATTTATAAATATATATTTCTATTGCGATGTTATAATGAAATATTATAATATCCGAAAAATCGGAAATGTCGATTTGCTACCGGTTCACGCACGTATATCCTTGCCAGTCTCTCGTCAAGCGATCGCCATTTAGTATATTTTATTTTATGAAACCCATTCCGATTTACTAGTTACGTCCCATCATAATACTATAATAATAATAATAATATTGGGGACCCCATGCCACTTTGATTTTCGGTAAATTTTCTGTCAAGACGATTCCGGTTGGTATATTTACGTACGTCATACAGGCGCCGAGGATGAAAATAAATCTTATAAAATTTAGGATGGCCGTTCGAGCCCTTCCGGCTACTGTAGAAGCACTCTCGACATCCGAAACGTTTAATCACTGAGAACGTCTACGTATACCATGCAATAACATACAAGACCGGAAGGGATTGGATTTCAATGTATTTTTCTCTTATCGCTCGCAACCGCTTTAAATATTATTATATTATACAATATCGTTCAGACACAAATTAAGTGGCGGACGTCGGGTATCATGTATTACGCGTGTGTGTATCAATTAAAATGTCCGAGTGTATGAAGGAACCTGACAAGTGATGAATGACGAGTGATGAGCTTGTTATGTCGTCGCGGTTCGAAGTATTGGCGACGTCAAAGCGGTTCGATCGAAAAGTTTATTGTGCTACCACTCTGATGACTTACGCGGTTTACACGAAAATGTGTGTAGGTACTTTTCAACTCACGRGAAGGAAAACCACAATCGAAAACAGCTTCGTTTTGTAAATATTTATATATATATATATAGTACGTAAAAACGGGTAATTGACACTGTTCGTTTTTAATAACAAAACAATAAAAATTGTCTTAASTACCTAAAATATTATTATTTCTCAGACTAGATAGTATTAATTATTATTATTATTTATTTATTTTAAAATTTTTATTTCTTTAAATCATCTAAATTATTATATTTATTGCTGAGACGTTTTATCATAATAATATATAATATGTCTAAAAGTAAACATTTTATTTTATATGATTTATACATATTGCGTGGAATATGTTTTTGATTGTTAAAAAGAAAATGTTACGAGAATCTCGTTCGGTAGGCTCTAGCTAGGATGTTATTTATTTTAATTTAATAGGAACTTAGGGATGCAATACAATTAAAAACACAATGCGGAGAACAATTGGAGGAGATGCCCGAAACTAAATTTACGAACACAATGCTAATCATTAAATATAACGTCGAAGGAATTATTTAAGTACATTGAACAGATCTCGTTGAGTTTATGTAATGACATATATTATCACAAGGTTTAGTTTTAATAACGTTATTCCTTAACAGTTTCGATACGAGGCATAAATCTTAAACGAAAATGAAAACATTAAATTAAAATATATCCTCAGACTGGACAGTCTCGTACAATTTGAGCAAGTGAATTTTGTATGAACTGAAAACGTTGAGAATGTAATTTGTTATCCTCAGTTCTGGATATTAAAACAATGAAAATAAAAAACTAAACAAAATGAAAATAAAACCTAACATGAAATTTCAATCATATTATATATAATTTATGCCTCTCCGACTACGCTACTATGCCAATACTTAGTCGAGTTTTTTCTTTTTTAAATATAATATAATGTATTTTTAAATTTTAGAAATACTATAATAATTAATATTTATGAAACGYAATATTATCAATACACAATAATAATTAAATAGTATAATATAATATTAATAATATTATCAAACCTCGTGACGCGCGTCGCAGGTCAGCCTACCAAACAACAGTCGACACAGGTGCCTACGTCGCACTGAGTTTAAAACATTTATTTTTTATTTTTTAAATAACAAATAATTACGGTAACGTTAAAATCTATGCACATAATATTATTATTAATAATCATAATAATATATATATAAGTTATTAATACCATTGTTCTGTGATCGCGCACGAAATTGATTAATATGATTTTTGTCTTTGAGCATTGTTTTTGGTTTTTTTGCGCGCGAAACGTCGTTCGTGACTGGCTGTTAGCCGGTGAAGGGGGGCAAGGGGGTGGGTGATGGCGGTTCGCGATCGTCCTCAACACGCGCTCTCGACATAACCGGCCGAGTGGTGCTGATGCCTGACCATGCCGGCCATCTGGGCCTGACGGCGCTTGTACGCGTGGAACTCTTCTTTCATGGCCCGTAGTCGTGCCTCTACGCT